GGGGGGGGGTGGGGGGGGGGGGGGGGGGGGGTGGGGGGGGGGGGGGGGGGGGGGGGGATAAAGGAAAGAAAACTGAATATGAGCTAGAGAGACAGAAATCTTTATTAGAATTATTATCACAAATATTTGTTGTCCGTGTAAAAGAAGAATTTCACGTAGCATTCTTTATAATGGGAACAGTTGAATAATCTAGATTACACCGTCGCTGTTAACGAAGCAAATTACAAAATGTGACGGTGGGCACACTGTAAAGAAACTTTATGAGAGCTGAAAAAAATTATTGATACGCTAGATTGCTTTCCACATTACAACAAACCACAAGCATCTAAAATATATCGGGATCATCAAATATATTTAAATCTCTGTGTTTTGTTATTTTGTTTCACGAGTTGCAGATAGGCCACGGAACACACACAAAAAAAACAACAACTGCACAGCCAGAGAAATAAATGAAATAGGGAAAATGGACTGTTAATTTCAGTATATGAGTTCAATAAGTTTATGACTACAGAGCTGTAAATTATGGCCTAAACAGTAACAAATCAGACGAATTTTCAATTAAATTTTTCATTGGTTTCACGTATACACAATTTTCAACATCAGAATAACAGAGTGATGCATTAATAGGTTTTTATTGAAATTAAAATAAATTTATACAATTTAAAAAAAATCAACATGTTTAAAAAAAAACAACTTATATAACTTACACAAACCAAACAATCCTTCCATGACGCTAGAATAAAAATGGCCAACCATCATACTGAAGTTCAAAACTACAAGATTGATTTAGTATACTCTGTGTAAATTTTACAACGTGGGGAAAAAAAAGTAAAATTATTAGAAGAAAATAGGACAGTAAATAGGCAATAAATAAACATAATTTAGATAAGAAAACTTTTTGTTTAAAAAAAAAACAATGATTAGTTGCTAATAACTAAATGGATCATTAAAAAAAATATAGAGCTGATATTCCAAGTTAGACTGGAATGTTTAAGTCCAGGAATCTATTCACTGAACTATTTTAATTCACATACATTCACACATTTATTGTTTTTGATAAGACAAATATGCATGTTCTCATAAACATCCCATAACACAAGTGACACAGTTTTACATTACTTTATACACGTCAAGAACACGTCACTATAAAATTACTCACTGATCTCATTTGAACATGCACATCAGTTATGAAACCTCACATTAAAATGCCTTATGCATATTACATGATGACACAACAAAATATCTTATATTCCTATTTTAAACCCGTGCAATTATTTTCATGCAACTCCAAACTTCTTGGCCACTAAACTTTCAAACATAGACTGTGCCTTTTACCCTTGTCCAAACAGCTAAATTGTCTGAGCCACAGCATAAATAAGATATCTTATAGTGACCTATTTGTCTTAGCTATAATCAGTTATTCTTATTACAATCAAAGTTAACACTGATCAAATAATTTGCTAGATGTATGAGAGGGTTGCTTGGAGGGACATCACTCCACAGGGAAGAATATATAATATATATAATCTCAAGTGTATGTGCAGATGGGGGGTACTGGGTGTTGTGTGTCATTACACTTGTATTTTTGTGCATTGAAGGGAGCCTGTTGAATTTCTTGCTGTGTGTCTTACTGCTGTCATATCCAGTCATCTGTGGCAGATGAACTATTCTAACATAGTTCTGAATAAAGTATGGCCCCTATATCAAAATTCATACAAATCGTAACTGGCATAATTACATACATGAATTTAGACATATCTAGAAGTTCATGACATCTGACAAATATGCTTAACATGTTCAATAACTGGTCATCATTCATTATGATTCCACTAAGGGGTGGAAGAAGTGGGTGTGTGTGTGTGGGGGGGGGGGTCCCCTGATTAGGAGATTTACATACGGTTTGCTTGAACAGTTGGGGTGAAGATGTCCACAAGAATAATGGCAGCCATAGAATCTTGACACGTTTCATTATGATTCCACTAAGGGGTGGAAGAAGTGGGTGTGTGTGTGTGGGGGGGGGGGGGTCCCCTGATTAGGAGATTTACATACGGTTTGCTTGAACAGTTGGGGTGAAGATGTCCACAAGAATAATGGCAGCCATAGAATCTTGACACGCTGCAGCCATAAATGTAAGAACTATTTAGTATTGAGTGCTGGCTTTACACGTTGTTAAATCACACCATTGTCATTTTGCCATGTTTTGATTAAGAATGAAAAAGATTATCAATCTAATTTTGATATGGTATCAGCTTTTCAAAAATATTCTTTGTATCAAGTTTTCTTTTTCCTGATTTTTAGAAATAATTGTATATCTATTTATTCAAATTTTTACATACTTTTTAAGAGCCTTGAATATGTAGATGTATACCTGTTGGTATTATCTAATCGACTTTAAAGTCCAAATGAATAGGTTTAAATAGAATCAAATACCCAATAATAGTCTTTAGTTGGGGCTAAACAAAATTATAAATAATTAGTAAAGAGCTTGAGAAAGGGGAGTAAACTAATTTGTACATGTGTGTCTCTAAGTGGCTAGAAGTGTACTGCGCAATGGCAGAGAGGGTGGTCATTTAGCTTTCAGTTTAGCAATAAAATTCTACATTTTTAATATCACACTGAACTAGACTAATTTCTAATATATGGCCGAATTTTAAAAATATTTCCAAAATAAGTATTAAAATATCTAATAATGATAAAAATTAAATAAGAAATTCTTACCCAAAATATTCTAAAGAAATAAGTAATCATGACAGCAAAATGGGTTGCCATTACACTGGTAGTTATTGTTTAATTACTTTTCTAATAATTAAACAGAACATTGCAATTTACAATAAAAACATCACAAATAGAACATTAGAATAATCAAACAACAAAGAGAACGTTACAATAAAAACATTAAAAAAATGGATCATTGAAATTAAAAACATTAAAAATAACATTACAACAAGATCTAAACATCAAATATCACTAAAACTTTCCCCCACACTGAGACAACCATTGGGTTATTCCCCTTGGTGCCCACTTTTGACTCCCATCTTCGTGGTCTATCTTCAAACAGATATTTTTCAGACCATCCCTTCATTAATTGTGATGGATACAAGTGGCCTGGGACAAAAAACAAACTCTGTACGTAGAGATTTATTTAATGCGCAAGTTCTATCGTAAAGTAGAAGTGGCCCAGGTGGCTTTAATATCAGCTTCCCTGGCGGCCCCAACCGGGATTTTAGCTAATGATCTGAAAATTCAGTCAAAAAGTTAAAACAACATCCTAACGCAAACTTAAACAGTGAATCAGCAAATAAAGGGTCTACATATTTGAGACTTTGGCTTACAAAAATAAAACAGGTTCATACACATATAGGCCTATATCTAAACATACTTGTATAAACATGAGCCTAAACCTAAGAAATTAAAGCGGAAATAACTAATAAAAAATTTTTTTTTTTTTAAACTTCATTAATTTAAATTCAAAGCTGTAAAATCTTTTCACGACGAGATTAGAACTGACTTCAATACACTTTTGCAGATGCTGCAAGGTTTATTGGAAGAAAGTGAGTTTTTGATTTTTGAAACCATTGCCTCACTGCAGACGTCATCTCTTCAACGCGGTCGAATCTCAGCTTCTTCAGGTTTTATGAACCTCTAGACACCAGGTCCCACCTATGCATACAGTGGATAGGTAAGCACGGAAATCAAGGCACTGAGTTGCATCTATTGCATTAGCCCTTGTGTGAGGCTTAGCCTTCTTGTATCTAGTAAGTGATTTATTTCATAATGCAATCAGTCGGACTTTACTTTTTAGTGCAGTCGCAGGCCTTCCACTGGATCTGCTTGCCCCTCCACTTCTCCATATTTCAACACCCTTAAATATTTATGGGCTCTGGGTGGCCGAGCGGTCTAAACTGAGTCAATCTCGAGTTCGTGGTCTGGAGTTCAAACCCCAGTTGTGCAAAAACATCACCAGCCCCCCGGGTGGATGGGACTCACTAACCTTGGATGGCAACCCATCCTCTAAGAGAAGGAAACTCTGAATTGAAACCCAGAGATGGAGTTCCGTTGGCGGGTAACATTGGCACAATGAAACATTCCGACAACTCCTGCGACGCCAATGGTGCCAAACTGTATCATCCACATGATGTTTCCTTGGATTATCCAGCAGCGTGGAGAGAGGTGATTTGCTGTGTAGGGAACCAGCTTAAAATCCTAAAAAAAGAATAATCCCAGGCCTTGTGGCTTTCGTCCTGCGACAGTCTACACCTTCGTTACCATCAACATCTTTCATACCTGAATTTCAATCTGTGTAACTTTTCCAGTCTGTGAGTATATATAAAAAAACGGCTCCCCCTTTAAACACAATATCTAAACATTCGTGCACTTGGACGAAAGCCATAAGCCTCTGTGTGTTCAAGCTCAAGCATGATGGCTCTGAGATACCCTGGGACAGTATCAAACCACTCGACACATAAAAGGTAACTAAAAATATATATATACAGTGACGGCAAAACTATTTAGCTTGACCTTGGGCGTGCAGGGTACGATTGGTGGATCTACACATTAATGATGTGATATACTTTTGTGACAATCCAGCTAGGCAGAGACAAGAAATAAAAATAAATATATATATTTTTAATTATTTATCACATTTACACAAAGCAAAGATCAGACATGCACAGTAGCATGTGTACAGTTTCTGTAGGTAGAGGGCTGAGTACCATTTAATATCCCACACACAATTTATCCACCATCCCATACACACCATTTATCCCGCACACCGTTTATTCCCCCACATGCACACCATTATCCCCCTTATTTAACCGGTAGCAAGTGTTCAATTAGCAGTAGATTCAGGTCCTATCATCTGTCATCTCCAGAAACTGGGCGTAGACGTCTCTGGAACATTCTCCCTTGGCGTTGAAGACAAACCTGTAGTAACTGCCATCAGCACAAATGACTGAAATTAGACAGAGGAACTGTTGACTGTTTGAGTCAAATAGACTTTATTGCCATCTAGCAAGTTTAAGGCAACTTTTATTTGGGCAGTTGGCAAACAACATTTGTACCTCATATCTTGATACTGATGTGGTGGAAACAGAACTGCTGCTTATCTTACTTATGACTAGGGCTTGGAAAGCGACAGCGGGGCACTAATGGCAGCAGAGAGTCAAAAAAAAAAAAAAAGTCTCATAAGAAATTTTATCTTTCTTTTATGATTTTTAATGTATTTTCTTAAAATCGGGCACCCGAGAATTGCCCCGGGCAGTTAGAGTGCGACCGGCACCCATTGACAGCCCCACTTAGTTCATCTTACCTATGACAGTTTTATAGTAAAGTTCATCTTACCTATGACAGTATTGGGCTCAGAACCAAAGGCACAAATGCAATGAGCTCCGCCAGGTACTTGAAACTTGGAAAAACTCCATTTTGAGCTGAAGTACTTGGGCAGGAAACTTGCGGACGCAAGCCTGAAAGTGATGGGTTTAGTCAATTGTTTTTTTTTTTAACTTTCATGACTAAATTGATTTATCTAAACAGATGAACCAAGGGTGTAATGTCATAACATAATAGTTTTATCATCATGACTATTTTTTCTAAAAATAAAATCCATTTATCCGATAGATTTGTCGCTGTGGATAAATTACTTGGTTGACTTGTAATAAATAATACATTTGTTTCAAAAATCGTATTTACGTGGATTGTTTGTTCTTTTTCTCATCCTCTGTAGAAAATATATGCACAGTCCCATGGTCACTGGAAACACACATCATTGTGGAATCTGAGTTGAAACTAATACTGGAAAATATGGAGGTTCACATATTACAAGAGGAAATTAATTTCATTCGTTTCATGATCATATTGATATAAGTTGTAGCATGAGAACTTTATGCCCTCCGGATTAATTGCTATCAAAATGTGCAGGAATGCTCTTTTTGGGGTCATTCAGCGAAAAATATTCCTGCTTTTTTTAAATTGAAACCCAGTTTCCTTTATCTAGATTTTATTTACGGTCGTTTTAAAACTAAAATAAACTTGAAATATAAAGTTCTCATAAACAAGAAAGTTGACTGAAATTTCCAATAAAATTACCAATAAATATGAGCACTGTTGGCACCTCGCCTGAGTTCATGGAGCTGACCTCCTGAAGTCGTGTCAAACACTCGGATCAATGTGCCCTAAACAAATCAAAAGTTTAAAAGATAGTTGAGAATTTTAAAAATTCATATTCTATGAGAGTTTGAGACCCCTGAAGTATATTGAAAGTTTTAACATGTAACTATTTGAGCCATGTACATTGTAAGTTTTTAACATGTAACTATTTGAGCCATGTAAATGGTAAGTTTTTAACATGTAACTATTTGAGCCATGTAAATTGTAAGTTTTTAACATGTAACTATTTGAGCCATGTAAATTGTAAGTTTTTAACGTGTAACTATTTGAGCCATGTACATTGTAAGTTTTTAACATGTAACTATTTGAGCCATGTAAATGGTAAGTTTTTAACATGTAACTATTTGAGCCATGTAAATTGTAAGTTTTTAACATTTAACTATTTGAGCCATGTAAATTGTAAGTTTTTAACATGTAACTATTTGAGCCATGTAAATTGTAAGTTTTTAACGTGTAACTATTTGAGCCATGTACATTGTAAGTTTTTAACATGTAACTATTTGAGCCATGTAAATGGTAAGTTTTTAACATGTAACTATTTGAGCCATGTAAATTGTAAGTTTTTAACATTTAACTATTTGAGCCATGTAAATTGTAAGTTTTTAACGTGTAACTATTTGAGCCATGTACATTGTAAGTTTTTAACATGTAACTATTTGAGCCATGTAAATGGTAAGTTTTTAACATGTAACTATTTGAGCCATGTAAATTGTAAGTTTTTAACATTTAACTATTTGAGCCATGTAAATTGTAAGTTTTTAACATGTAACTATTTGAGCCATGTAAATTGTAAGTTTTTAACATGTAACTATTTGAGCCATGTACATTGTAAGTTTTTAACATGTAACTATTTGAGCCATGTAAATTGTAAGTTTTTAACATGTAACTATTTGAGCCATGTAAATTGTAAGTTTTTAACGTGTAACTATTTGAGCCATGTACATTGTAAGTTTTTAACATGTAACTATTTGAGCCATGTAAATTGTAAGTTTTTAACGTGTAACTATTTGAGCCATGTACATTGTAAGTTTTTAACATGTAACTATTTGAGCCATGTAGATTGTGGGTTTTTAACATGTAACTATTTGAGCCATGTCACTTGTCAGTTCACCTTCTCAGAGGCTGTGGCAAGTCTTGTGCCTTGTAAATTCATGGCCATACAACTAAGAGTGGCCTCGTGGGCTGCTATGTCTAACGGGGCCTTTTCTGTGTCAGCAAGGTCAATGATCTGCACGTGACCCATTTTTCGAGCGGGAAATGACAGCAAGGAGTTGTTACTGTTTGGACACATCACACACAAGCCTGAAACAAAATAATATGTTAGTTGTAAAGTAATTAAATTTTTATTTCAAATACCAGATTACAATATTGATACTTCCTTTGCATACAATTATTATATTGATATTTCAACTGCATAAGATTTATCATACTATTACTATTTCAGCTATGAAACTTAGTCTTGTCATGTCCAGATTTCAGCTAAATAAGATTAACATATTTATTTTTACCTTTTATAACATTATTGCTATAATTATGGTAATATGATTTGCAGATCAATTTAACTTAGCTGGTTAAAATGAATAAATAACACTTTAAACTTTAAAAAATTTCAAAAATCATATTGCTGTAAATCAATTTATTGTGGTATGCTGATTCATGTATAATTTAAACAACATAAAATCATGTAATGTAAAAAAACTAAATATTTTTTGAACATCTTTTTCAATGATGAGATAGTTTAAGAAAGTTTTGAGTTAAGATTAAGCTGAAGAAATAAAAACTTTACCTTTTGGGTTTAAACCTGTCTCAAAGACATGTAACTGTTGTGGATTTTGAGTAAATGTGTACACTTTGATCATTGTATCCAGGGCAACTACTATTCTGGAATATTCAATAGAAAAAAAAAACACAAGAAAATTTGCTTTAGATAGAAATGAATTAAAATTATAAATATTGCTTTGAAGCAAACCTTAAGTAAGTCAGTGAAACAAATTTGGATATAATTCATACAAATCTACACAAAAAAACAACAACAACAAGACAACAAAAAAAAAAGGGGCAGGGGAGGGGGATTACTACAAAAAAAGTTAATTGTTTCTTATCACCACTAGTGTCATTAAATGTGTTTTCTGTATTTGCAAACCACTTTAACCATACTTAAGAGTTAAGATTTGAAATGTATCTGAAATCATGCAATAATTGTTACAGATTTCTAACCTTGTGTCCCAGTAAGCCACAGCAGAGTCCATATTTACTTTAATTTTTTTAACTTTTGTTTTGACATATATAATGTTAAATAATAATTGTTAACATTGTCTCCTAATACCCTTTGAAAACTTTTTATGTTACAACTCCAGGACTTCCATTAACAATGCTGGATAACTTTGGTAAGTATTCAGTCATACATTTTTATATAAAATGGTTAACAAATCCTGAAATTGGCATACTAGACAGGCTCAATAATCAACTATAAATTTATTTTTAAAAATATACCTGTCCCGCCGTAGACGCACACTCCGGACATCAGATGAAAATTCCAGTTCTATCACATGTTTTTTCTTCAAATCATCCCACACCATTACTGGTGGATAAAGAAAAGAAAACATCAAATCAGATACAGCATAAAAAACAAAAAAAGCTTGAGGTCAACCTCAATGATTTATATGAAATGAAAAACATCTATAACTTACACTTACAAAAATAATATAGAAATCAGAGGCATATTCTTACCTTTATTAGGGGGATATTTAGGGTTTTTCCCACCTCCTACTAGCGCTAAATAATTGCAACGAAACAGCATCTCGACATGTCCTATTCCACCATCAGAAAAATCTGGAGATGTAGATCGATGTTAAACGATACGAATAAATAAATTTTAAAAATTATCTCTGAATAATACTTGGTATAAATATTGACCCTTGAATTTAAAAATACTTACCTGGGAGCATGGGCGCCCGCAGAAAACTTTCTAGGGGGGGCAAAAAAATCGATTAAATTCCCAGGGGGGGGCAAAAAATTGTTACTAATGTTTTAATATAGTTTTAATTTACTCTAGCATATTTTTATGGAGAACGAACGGACAGGACATCAGCTTAGTTACTTTCTCTTTATTTTCTCTTTACNGGGGGGGGGGGGGGGGCGGGGGGGGGCCAAGTGCCCCCCCTTGCCCCTACTAGCGGGCGCCCATGCCCGGGAGTGAATTTCTTTAACATTAAAGGCAATCAATATTAATTAATAGCTTTTTTACGGTTGCTGCAATTGGTTGTTTAAAAATAGTCTATTTCAGATTCTGTGGCTTGGGAAGTTGTAGCAACAAATGGAAGCTAACAATGCATTAATTATCCCTAAAATAATATAGCTAACACATTAAATTTTCTATTTTGATTACTTAGAATGAATTTCAAACTTGAAATATTTTATATCCAACGCCCATGGTTATATAATTGAACAGAAGTAGCGAACCCAAAATGTTCACTGGCCAATTTGATCCTGAGTTAACTGTTCGTGTGCTGCACAAAATTGCACATAATAAATAAAGTAAACGCCCAAAAATGATTTACAGAATTATTTATTTATTATTTCACACACTGAAATGCAAAGTAACGAATCAAAACAAACTAAACTAATGTGATATTTTTTACCTTTACACTCATAAAACGTTCAAAATTCTATTTCTTTGTCAATAAACTGAAGAAAGAAAAGGTTGGGGGGGGGGGGGGGGGGGGGGGTGGGGGGGGGGGGGGGGGGGTGTGTGTGAGTGTGTGTTTGTCGCTAAATTTAAGGAGCCTTAGCATAAAGGCTGCTCAATAAAGGTCACTTGCATGGGGCCCGCAGGTGAGACAGGCCTGTTATAGTAACTTTCACTGCCAATGATAAAATATACTGAGACTGAACCTACCTTGCCTTTCCTTTTCTTTCAATGGGTCAGCATTGTATACACGAAATCCACTCTCCATTCCACATGAGAAACAACCTGCCATTAAATTACCATATATAATTATTAATAGTAAAAAGAAATGTTGCTTTAAAATGGGTTTATTCTTGCGATTGTATTTTTAATCCTGTAAGGCTTAATGCTTTAATCTGACTTCAGTGATTGATGAATTTATCCATAGTTAGGGCAGTAAACGGATGAAATTGGAACTCAGCCTACCTTTTTTGTCTAGATACAGATAATATTAAAATTGCACCACTGGGCTTACTGTTATTCATTTAAAATCCAATTTTCTATTAACTATGAAATTTTAAAGATTTCCTAGTAAACAAAGTGACAGTACAGAAAAGTAAAATTAGTATTTAAAAAATTAAATCACCTGAGTGTGTATACTTAGGCATGGAAAATGTATAGTTTAAAATAAAGCTTTTTATTAAAGTGACAAAGAGAATAATAAGGTAGACTGCACATGAGTACAGTAAAATAATGTATATGCACATACAAAAAAAATTATACAACTGAAGGCAAAAAAACATATTTTAGACTATTAATTTTAAATGAAAATTATCATGTTGTCTTAAAACGTTTTTACAGTACCAAAACAACAATAAACAAACTGTACCAGATAAACATGAAAATAAATTTCCACCCATAAAAATAACACAAAGGGTCCCAGAACTATTCCATTGATCTGTCATTCTTAAAAGCATTTGGGGTGCTCTTCTATATTTGAGACTACCCTCTGAGAAACGGTCAGCATCCATTTATTCAGTAAGTTAAAAATGACCTTGTAATTTTTTTTTCAAATGTTTTATCTAAATTCACTTTTTAACAAAAACTAAAGCTAATTATCTGATATCACTGTGGATGGGTTATTGTGCATCCTACTTTGACATTGTGAATATTGTACTAGGTAGGGTCAGAGGGGATGCCCATTGCGTTAAATAAAATATGATATTTTGTAATGATTGAATCAAAGGAGGCTACATCAGATGCAGGGCTCTTCAAAATAAGACAAACCCTATCCCCTTGATCAGAAATGGCAAGGCGTGAAGTCATGAAGCAATATTTGCACATGTGTCACCAGACTTGTGTCATACCCTGGTATTACAAGAAATTGGCATGAAACAGGGCCGGACTTGCTGAAGCCCTAAGCTATACAAAGTCCAGAGGCCCCCAACCGTTATAAATAACATTAGCTGGTCAAAGAAAAATGTTAAATAGTCGGCAGATTGTGAGGCCCTAGTAAATCTGGCACTGTTATGTCATGTTCAATTTGTGTTTTAAAGAATCTAATAGAGTTTAATGTACCTGTAGCCCTAGGTAGGCTTAGCTATGCCAACACTAAATTGTAAATTTAATAATAGGGGTCTAGGACTATAAAATAATCTTTAAATTATTAAATTGAAAGCCTAGTTTGTATTATGTGGGCATTTGACTCTTTGTTGTGGGCCAGAAAAGATGCAGGAAGACTATTTGAAAAGTATTATTATTACCGTGAAAATTATTATTTTGGGATAATTTAATCTTTAAAGTTCCAAATTAAATTCTGAGAAAAATACCCAGTGCATTAAAAACAACGATTTTCTGTAAATAGAAGTTGCAAATAATAATAATGTAAATTAAAAACTTAAAAAAGGGGGTGGGGCTAAAGAAAGTCGCATTTTTTGTGTGAAACACTTTCATTTTGATGGCGGTCCATTTTATTCACTTTTTACATGTTCAAATTACCGTGATCTTGATTCCATCCAGCAAACAGAAGTCCATTTGTGTACGGACTTGTTGGTCCTAAATTCATTTCAATTTGTCTCACTTTTATTAATCAAATGCATCTAAAAAACATTTAACTGTGTTGTTCACGGATATTCTAACGCAGCCTCTAACCCATAAAACACAATTAGTTTAATAAGAATAGCTTCCCTTAAATATACGGTGTTTAAACAAAATAGTCTACTTTAAATTTTTAATTAACCAAGCCGTGTCCCAGTCAGGATAAACGAGACATTTGTCGGGGTTGGGGGGGGGATATCAGCCCCACTCAGTGGCGTAGCGAGGGGGGTGCGGGGGTGTGGACCGCACTGGGAGACACCATTTTAGGGGTGACACCCAATTGAAAAATTGCATATTTACAGAGCACACTGAGCATTCACAACCAAGATTCATAAAAGGATAACCGATTACACATACATTTTTTCACAAATGTAACCAATCCAAAATTAGTGCTTTATTTAAAGTTCAAGGTCGATGCTTTGATAAGTGCTGGAAACTGAGCCAAAAATTACAAAATCATGAGGCATCGGAAAAGCACCTTGTTGCCTTGAAAAATTGAAAGCAATTGATACCGAAACTATTGCTGTGATGGACAGGGAGAAGACAAAGTGGAGGGATATCCTGCACGGGGTCAAATAAAGAAAAAAAAATTGCAGCGGGTGGACCACCTCCTCCGCACTCCGCACCCCTTCCCCCGCCCCCGATTGGCTATGTACCTTTACAAAATGCGCCCTGAGTTAGTTTGTGCTTGTTGGTTGCAATTGTGTTGAGATGTAGGCCTTATATCATGTCTCTGCACATGTTCTGTGATATCAAACTGGATACATGAGTGCTGGTCGCCATTTTTTTTTTTGAGACTCCCTCAAATCTTGAACGCCCTTTACTTTGTGCACCCGTCTGGAACGCCCTTTACTTTGTGCACCCGTCTGGAACGCCCTTTACTTTGTGCACCCGTCTACGTTTGCAGTTAAGATGTGTATCTTCATTTATTCTTGCTGTCCTCTCAGATGCTACATAACAGCGTAGTGTTATTTTTATTTTAAAATTGTTTTTACTGTCGTTTGTTCGCCGACGAAGGCTTCTTGTCGACACGTTCAATGTTTTGTGGCGTCCTCTTTTCCAGGTTTTCCCATAATTTGTTTCGCTCATTTCCTTAAGTCAGGTCCGTATCATATGTTAGGGGGCTGCACGTTGGCTGGATGCCATTAGGGTAGGCTGACCAAACGTCCCGTAAAAACGGGGCTGTCCCGTTTTTTCCACGATCGTACCCGTTGCCCCGGAAAATTCTCCCGGGACGCCTAAATATCCCGTTTTCTAAACCAAACCTATTTTCAAATCATTAAAACTTCCTAATTTATAATATGACTTCAAGAAATATTTTGGCTAGCTGTGTGGCCAGTGCCAGTAGTGATGTGGGCTCACGCGATGGCTGCACTGTTCCCCCTCCACCACAGTGTCCCTGCCATAGATCTTATATGTAAATGTATAGCGGAAGACACGAGACTTGATGCCACCCGGGGGGGTGGGGGTGGGGGTGGGGGTGAAATGCAACTTCGCAGAAACCAATTTTGATTCAGCTACCACTACATGTAATGTGGTAGTCTTGTTTGTGATCCCTGCCGGCCTGTTCGTGTCAGAGTGACAGTCTTGTTTGTGATCCCTGCCGCCTGTTCGTGTCAGAGTGACAGCCTTATGCGTGATCCCTACCGGCCTGTTCGTGTCAGAGTGACAGTCTTGTTTGTGATCCCTGCCCGCCTTTTCGTGTCAGAGTGACAGCCTTGTTTGTGATCCCTGCCGGCCTGTTCGTGTCAGAGTGACAGCCTTGTTTGTGATCCCTGCCTGCCTGTTCGTGTCAGAGTGACAGCCTTGTTTGTGATCCCTGCCGGCCTGTTCGTGTCAGAGTGACAGCCTTATGTGTGATCCCTGCCGGCCTGTTCGTGTCAGAGTGACAGCCTTATGCGTGATCCCTGCCGGCCTGTTCGTGTCAGAGTGACAGTTGTTTGTTTTGGGTGTTGAGCTTTATTCTTTAATTTGATATTATCTCCTCATGTAGACATTAATGATGCCCAAGCGTCAATGTAAGTTTATGGAGGAGTATTCCAAAGAGTGGAACTGTGTGAAAAATGGACGGTATGAAAGTGAAAAAGTGAAGCTGGGTGCACATTATGCAATAATGTTTTTAGTATAACACATCACATCAGCGAAACATTGGAAAATACCGAGTTCCCCAAGTAGATTTCTAGGTTAGATTTCATAGTTAAGGGGTCGTCCATTAATTATGTTAACAATTTTTACGCATTTTTTACCCCCCCCCCCACACCTTGTCAACAACTGTCAAACTTTCAATGACCTCCCCCCCCCCCAACTATTTAATTATGTCAGCATTTTATAACCCCAAATGTCACAAGTAAAAAGAAAAGCTCAAACACCAAATCAGAACTTAAAAAATAAACAACCCCTTTCTTCTAAACGAGAGAGAGGGTCTGCAACGTCTACGAAAAAGTCAAATCAACTTCTACCTTTTTCCATAACAAAAAATAAAACACCCAAAGTTAAAACTGTGTCGGAGCCTTGCCTTAGAAGTGACATAAAAGATAAAATTAAGCTGTACGCTCCAAACACTGAGGTCTCGTCTCAGAAAAAAAAATGAATTATAATATTATAAATAGATTTATAAATACATTTTACTTTGTGCTCATCTATTTTAATAACACAAAATTGTAAGAAAATCATATCATTACATGTTTAGCTTTTTAATCAATAAGTTAAAAAGTTTGTACACTTAAATTTTATCACGCAGAATCAATAAGAAGGTTGTTAAGGACTAAATATCATTGTTTGTGCAAATAGAAATATGATTATTGTCAGTATAGCTGACAATTATAGTATAGTTTCTAGCTTAGATCATCTTCCCATGGAGTAGCCATGTGTTGCTGTTTCGTAACAATGAGCATCAGGGACATCATTTGTGTAGTGCAGGGGCATTTGCCCCCCTCCCCACCCCCCACCCCGGTTTTGCTGGTTTTATTTAAATTGCTATGTACTGTGGCGCCTCCAGTAATAAACAACTTAACAAGCCGACCAAGTTTCGGTATTGCCCTCTCTCCCTTCCCCTGAAAAAATCCTGAAATGACGCCTCTGATGGGCATAGTCTATAGTAGTTGATTTATCCTTTTCATCTCGTGGAACTGATACACCAGACAAGTCAACATCATCCTTATCTAACCATTCAGCACTTACAATAAAAGTATTGTCTGTGTGAGCAATAGTTGCCATAAGCTCTCGCTGTCTTTGAGTTGGTAGAGTTGTTATTGAACACCGATCAGTTGGTGTTTTTTGTTTTTGTTTTTTTAATTGAAAACCATGCACAGTGATGTGTTAATCATTCAAGGGAGCGGATTAAGAGAAAAATGACAGGTGAAGAGATGCCAACATTTTACTTCTCTTGCACTAACAAAGTGTGCCAAAGTTCTAACCAACCATCAGCAGTGCACAAACAGACACTCATAAAAAAAACTCTTATATTGTTAAAAGCCTAAACATATATGACTATTTACACTCATTAAATTGTTAAAAATAATGTAAGTACAAGTCAATTTTTAAGATTAAAATTCTAATAGAAAAAAAACAACAACACGATTGTTGACGTCAACTAATCTACCCCCCCCCCTACCCTTGTCAACAGCTTTCAAACATTTCCAAACCCCCTCCCCCCTATTTTGTTGACGTCATTAATGGATGCCACCCCCCCCCCTAANGCCCCCCCCTTTTGCTGGAGGGTATCCACCCCCCCCCCCCAAACCGTCCATGAAACTGGCCCGTTTTTTCCTTGTTCATGATTTGGTCACCCCACATTAGGGCCGTGCGAAAAAAAAAAAGATGAGTGAAGGGGCCGGGCGCCAGCCTCAGGTGGGCGCCAAAGTAGTATATTATCCTATTATTATATTCCCCGAGCGCCAGACTAGTAGAGGGGTGTCAAATGGTCTTTGATGATATTCTTTTGGGTTTCGCAGATGGGGGGGAGGAAGGCGTAAAATGAATCTTGTCCCCTAGTGCCAAACATTCCAGTTACGCCTCTGATTTGGCACGTGCCTTTATCATATATCATTTATTGAAGAAACAAGGGGGGGGGGGCGGACGGCGCAATTTTCAGGCTTCCCCCGGGCGCACTTTACCTCAGCACGCCATATGCGAATTTATATATTGTATTTTTCTTTGAAACAGTCTGAAAGAGCTATTACTTAATATATTCAGGCTTAGAATTGATCTATAAAGTCGCATGTACCGTACCGCCGTACCAAACTTGTTTGGACTTAAATTTAACTTTTTCTGACCTTACGCCTTACGAGTGTGGCCAACCAATCAACCTGTGTTTTTTTTTTCTTCCTGAGGTCAGTTCCGGGTCACTTTTTTCTTCTTTCTATCTGGTTACCCTAGCTTCAACAAATGGAATGCATGCTGATGAATTGAGACGCGCGACAACTTTAGTTTGAAATGTAATTGTTGTTGACTAAAGCATCGTTGAGATGGCAATTAACCGCGGGGATTGTGGCTGGAAGAGCTTAGTTGTGGCTTGTCGATTATTCGGAATAGTAACTGCCCTCGGTAAGTAAAACCGATGATGATGTTTTAACTTTGACCTCGAGTCAACTCGTGTGATGTTTAGCCACATTCATTGCGATATTTACATATTTGACAAGCTATATATTATTACCATACAACAACATATTATTTGATATTAACATCACAGCATTAAAATCTTTAATTGGAATTTATACCTAAACTAACAGCTTCTTGTTTACAGAATTACTTCACCAGACCAGTGGTAACCTATTCAATTCAGTTTCAGCCATATTTTTGGGGGGTAGCATGATTTGGAGCTTCTTCAAACTTCTTGTTTATGAATATGAAGTTGTTTGTTTACTTACGACTTAATAATATTACCATATTACATACTCTTTACTTAATTCACTAGTAAGGTACTTTAACAGCCTCTAGTACTATTAATAATACTATTATGTTCATCTTACGTCACATAAAATTTATCTACCTAAATTCTAAATTATTATAATTTTAATAAATTTAAAACTAGCTCTAGGTAAATGTTTGTTTGGCTGGCATCTCATTTCCCATAGCCGCCTCAGGCCATCTTTACAGCAGCGGAGGCCCTGGGCCAGTGATGCACTGAGGCTCCCAATCCTCTGTGCCAATGCCTCTATATACTCAGGGCCATGTCAAGGAGGGAGCGAGATGGCCGATCACCCCGAGCGCCAATATCAGAGGGTGGCAAAATCTTCTTAGGATAGGCCCTTAGTAGTGGATTAAACGATAAAATCCCCATGTACAAGTTTTTCACAAGATTTAAAAAATGAAGAAAATCATATTATCCAATATTTTTTAATTAATGAAAACACAACTTACTTTTTCATTGAAGACACTTTTACACTCTTTATTGCAGATTCCACCAAACCAAAAAAACAAAAGTTGTCCAAAAAATCAATAGTTAATACAATTCCAATTTTACAAAATGCCTGAAAATTTAAATGTAATAATTTTAGCCGACCAATTAAATTATAATTTAAAACTAAAAAAAGAAAAGAAAAGTTAACTCTAGTAACGATCCAAGCGAGAAAATCCTACACTGAAACTCTAAGTGGTGTGCTGAACCAACATTAGCACTAGCTCTATGTCATAGATAATGTCTGTCTAAGCAAGTAGGCTATTTTGATCAATTGTAGGACTGTTTTCAAATATATGCAGGGTCTGTAGTCAATCTATAAATGTTCACTTTAAATGAACAAAAAAAAAACACAAAAAACCCAATAAAATATATTCTATAAATAACAGCAACCAATAGTTTTCAAAACCGTTATTCAAATATCTGATATCATTTTATAGCCATAATCTTGTGTCTAAAGCATAAACTCCTTGTGTATTTTATTTTCAGTTCTTTGGGGTGTTGGTGTTGAATATGTTTTTTATGGAGCTGTCTTTGGTGTTTATTACATGTAAGTCCATTATAAATATGATGTTAGTTATTCACAGTAATCTGTAACAAGTGTTGCAATCATACCTTTGAGTAGTTGTCCCCTAATTAAAGTTTGATTATCACAGGTCATATTATTTGGGCCTGTCTTAATATTGCTGCATTGAAAAGAAACATGTCTCCGTCTTATTTTATTTATAAAAGATTTAGGAATTTTTTTGTAGTAGTTATAATTAAAGACAGCATGGCATGACAACCACATCTTAGTTGATTGTTTTTTTTTAAATGTTGTTTCAACAAACAAACAAAATCCTCATGAGTTCAGCAGTTTGCATTCAGATTTATTGAACAAAATATGCTTTTCATTTGTTTTGACATAAGCTCCACATATTTGTCATATATTTTCATCAGGCAATATTACAGACACGATCCTTTCATCACATTTTTATCATTACACATACGTTGTCCTCAGCTGACAGGGCTTGTTTACAAATTATAAATCGTAAATGATAGTAGCCATACTAATGGGCAATTTTTTTTATCTCAAAGATTAAAATTTGTGAAATAAATTTAAAGTTTATTTTATTGTAGTGGTCAGAATAAACAAAATGATATAAGAAATTATGGGATTTTTACAAAAATGGAATTAATTAAAGATATTTAAATGTGGAGAACATTCTTCCTTTACTCTAATTAAGCTAGTGCAGTGATATACCCACTTCCCGCCAACCACATATGATAATTTATACCAGTTATATTATGGTTACTGTACAGGATTATTTTTAAAATTCTTTTTATAATGGTGCAAATTTTTAAAAAAAAATGTTAAAGAGCCACATGCAGCTAGAGGATTGCTGATGGCTGTGCTAGCACATGATTAAAAATCTATAAATGTAAACAAAAGTTCTGCTTCGGAAGCCATAGCCTATTGGATTCTCAACATGGAGTTGTCACTGAGATATTTGGCTTCAACAATTTGCAGTGTTAATGTACCTTAAGGCACTGTTTTATTTTACTGAGAAGTTAAAAAAATAATTTCTCTTTTTTTCTCTCCATATTTCTAGAATCATTGCAATAGTCATATCATTTTTGGAAGTTGTTTTCTTATTGAATCATGTTGTGGAAGTGTGTGTCAGGTAAGTTTATACAGTTGAATTCTCTGCTGTCAGAACCATTGTGCAGTGATAAAATATTTTGTAATATAGCTTTATATAAGAAGAGATAAGAAATTAACCTTCAAATTAAACCTGCTTTACTTTTATGTACTAATTTTAGAAAAAAAATATAATAGAGTATTTAATTCTTTTATATCCAATGTTTCGAGAACCAGTGAATAAAAATTGTTTTTACATTTACAGCCGAACTAGTATATTGGTGAGAATTTGGGATATTGTTTTGTGTATTGATGACTGGAAAAAAGGAGGTCTCTACTTTGTGGTGTTTGCTCCTCCATGTTTTGTGAAACCAGCAGAGGCAGTTCTAGGTATTCCTGCAGGTAATCTCATCTATACATAACAGATAGTTTCTGTGTCTGAGTTGCGAAAATGATCTTCCATTGTGAAATCAGGATATACATTTTTGTCAGTAAAAAATTAGTCTTGCAACTTTCATTTGTTGTGCTATTTGGTTCCTGAAATACATTTGAAGTTCCCTGTCAGAGCACAAGAAAAAGTAATCAAAATTAAATTTGAAAAATAACGAGGAATTTACTAAAGGTGTTAATTTATGGACTACGCGTGTGGTGGATATTATTTCAATGATTTAATTTTTTTTAATCTACTCAAAAGTTGTCATATTACCTTAATTTAAGAAAACTTTTTACAATGATGACGTCTTTATCACTAGATTAAATCTATTTAATTGTCAAAATGTTAGTACAGTGATTCCTATAGACATATATCCATGAAGTAGCCGCCTTATATTTAAGTAATTATATATAGTTTAAGGTTTTATAAACCTTCCCCTTACTCTTTAAACCTTTTCAACAGTCTTATAAACCCTTCCTTTGCTCTTAAATACTTTCTACACTCTTGGTCGCCTCCCATCCATCAGCCAATGGTGTGCAATAGCTGCGTTTTCCATACATGCCAGTCTTTGTCTACTCATTCTGTATGCTATGTTTTTTATTTTGATATAATATTCTTTTAATGTTTTAATTAATATCTTGTATATTTTTTTATATTGTTTTCAATTTTCTAGGTTATAAAATTCTTATTTTACAGCAAAGATATCTAAAATAATAAATATATAAAAAAACATATCTATATATGCATGTACCTCAAAATCTCACAATAAAGCAAAAAAATATACGATACAAACTTACATGTATATACAAGAAAAAAATCTATGATAAACTGAGGCCGTGAACCTGTGAACTGAGTAAATAACAGACTTTAAATTATATTTAATTTTGACCTTGTCGGGGCTTATGGGACAGTAGCGACATTGATTGACCCTTTTCCTCACAAAAAAAATATTTGACATAAGCAGAAATGAACAATGGTAATCATGGTAAAGCCTGCTGTCAAGAAATGTTATGCTGCTTACCCCTATATTTATTTTAATTGCTAAAAGAAAAAGTAAATGATCAGTCAGCATTTTGAATGCTGTAGTGTGAATGGCCCTCTTGTAACTATTGCAGCAATGGCACTTCGAGAGTTAAAATATATTAAATTTTGTTTATAAATGACAAAAGAAAATTCTTCTTTTTTTTTTTTACACAATTTAAAACATTTTTTGGGGATCTTCAACTTAAATATTTATATTTCTAAATTAATCAGTTGGAAATCACCTTGTAGAACTTTTTGCTAAGCTAGTTAAGTTTTATTTACATATCATTTCAGTAGATAATCTGTATCACATTGAATGTTGTTTTTTTTAAATATTGCATATATTTACAATAAAATTGCAGGCTGCTTATTGATTGTGACTGGCATTTTATATATGTTAAAAACACTAAAAACTAAGAGGGATGAAGAGAATGAAGATATTTTACAGAATACAGCATATAACAGGTAACAATATAATATAATATATTTGTTAGTTTTCATTAAATAGAACAGTGGGCTTTATAGTTGACCTTCCGAAGATGCTGAAAACACACATCAACACTCCAAATGGATGGAGCTTTTGTATTGACTTGTCATGGCTACCGGTGTGCCAAAATACAATGCAATATGTCAAATTAACACTGCAACAAGGATGGGTGGCTCCCAGTGTGTTACTGATGACATAATATGTACATTTCATCTATGGTAGCTAATTCCAGTCCTTTTGAAAGACTCCTACACTGGATTTAGCCAACACACCCTGACAAGTCAGCACACGCTGAAAAGCCAGCACACCTTGATTAGCCAACACACTCTGACAAGCAAACACAGTCTGACATTTTGATCATACTTTTCAAAATTGACTTCAGAATACAGAGTTAAATCTCACTGAAGCTGAAATGGCATTATAGATATGTCTGTCTCATTGTTAAAATTTTAAAATAAATTTTATATTCTCTATTTAAGGTGAAGGCTTGATAGGATTTTTTATCTTTATAAATTGAGCATCTTATCCATTATTTTTGTTATTAGAAAATTCTACTTGCATTAATATGTTTTATAGTGCAATGCTTTCCCAAAATTAACTTTTGACAGAAGAGCCCAACTTACTTTTGAATCCTTTTTTGAATTTTTGTCTTACTATGCCGCAAAGAGCTGTCCTTTAAAAAACTTTCTGAATTCGCAACTGTTCATACAACAAAAATAAGTAAATTTTTTTCGGCAGTAAAACTGTCTTTTTTTTTTTTTAAATGGTTTCCGTCGGAGAATTAAAATTGTAAAACTTGTTTGTTGAGGTAGTTTTGGAATATATGGCCATATAAATTAATTATGTATCAATAGAAAACATGTGAGATCTGTTAAGTGTTGAAATTAGACAGTTAGAAGAAAGGGATTTTTTTGTTTGACTCAGTTTGGCTATTAAAAAACTACCACACAGCTGCACAGTACCAGTATTTACATTAAAAACGTGGGATAGACTGATCAAAATATAAATCAGGAGCCAAGAATTTTTTCATAGGAGCAGAGTGTTAAAAAAATATTTATTGAATTACTGATAAGTTTTTTAGACCAAGCATCATGTTTAAAACCCTTTGAGATGGTTATCGGGGTTCTCCAATTCTTAGGGAAGTGAAAAGACAACTCTTTTTTTGGCATAGTTCTGAAAAAAGCCTACGTAAAGATTAAAAGCATGTTCCAACAGCCTGAGTCTGAATAAAGTTTATCTTTCTACAGATTTGAAGATGTCCAGGAGGAAGTGGAGGACACTATGGTGAATCCCACCAACAGTCCAACGGGTGGCATGACAAGTGTGGCTGACCAATCAGAGATTTTAGACTTGTAGTTTTACCTCACCGCTACCCCAAACTATATGTGATGCATACAAATGGTTGTTTTCTGCTGCTGTGACCATTTAGTTCTGTACTCAAATCTTCTCACTGCCTTCATTACTGTTAGACGTTCTCTGTGCTTTAAGCTACAGTATTACAAATTTGTGAAGGTGCTAGTTTATCCGAGTACTTTTATAATTATAACTGTCTTTCTGAATGATACAACTTTCAAGAAAAAGATGCAAATGTGTGATGCTCAACTTTAACCTGATGTAAATTTTCTCTATCACAGACATGATTCCTGCAGAACTTTAAAATCTTATAAAAAATTATTCCCTTGCTATTTTGTTAAAAAAATCTTTCGAGAGATGCATTTTTGTGGAATTTATTGAAAGTCTTTTTAAAAATTAAAAAAAAATTAAAAAAAANATATATATATATATATTTTAATTTACTGTTTACATGGTTAACCATAACTAATTTGGTTGTAACATCACGTATGCCTATATAGTGGAAATCTCATTTTTTTTATATTATACTTCTTCCAAACTCATCCTCAACATTTTGTTGAAAAATCCACAATGTGTTAACTGCTGGCAAAAAATCTCAAATCTCTTTTTATGGATATTATGTTTCATTGCATCCATCATTTTATTCAATTAACCGAATGCAAACTTTTTTGTGTGTTTTGTTTGTTCTTTACTTGCTGCTGTTCTTGCTCTATGCAAATTGTCTATAAGTAAGAGTAGACTCTACCTAATAATTTTGCTGGTCACCATATACATGGGAAGCAAAATTTTGACTTATTTATTAGACACAAATATTCTGGTTGTAATTTTTGCCCCGACTGTGAAAGAACCTGATTGTTTCATTTGTGAACCAATCAAATAACAAAGTTCTACAAGCACAAGCAATTTGAAAAAAAAAAAGTCTAGATGTATAATGGGTTCTGATGGCAACGTCAAGTCTAAACGTGCTATGGTTCTTGATATCAAGTCTAAATGAGTCAAGGTTCTTGATGATAATATTAATAAACTCTAAATGTCCATCACATCAGCTTCGTGGTTGAATGGTTGGAAAATTTGTCGCAGTAGATCCTCTTGGGGAAACTTGGCTTATTTTGGGAAGAGCCTCCTCCAACTGTCTCAGGTAGTGTTAAAACCGGTGAAGACACTGTGAATTTGCCATTGGTTGAATGTAAGTCATACAAGTCAGCATCAAAATTGTATTCAACAGATACTTACACTTATTTTAAAATTGTTTTCGTTCCACTATGTTAGTGTTGATCTAACTTCTAGAAGTGCCATTTAATTCATTCTTTTTATGTGCACATCATATTTATTTTAGATTGATTAATATTACAATGTTCTTTGCTTGTAACGGTATTCATTTCTTTATTACCAACTATTGATGTCATCGCAACCCACACAAAGTTGGCTTGGTGGTCCGCAAGACTTAGTTTTGTGGTCAACAGAAAATGGATACATCTTTGACCGTTTATTTAATGTGGCAATTTATTTAATGGACCCATTTAGAAAATATTTCTCCACAAGAGTCCAGATTACCCCAATGTCAATCTGAAAATAATTCTAGCACATGTTTTGTTCATGTGCATTTTTTCCCATTGTGTTTTTATGTCTTCCAACATGTATGATACATGTTTCATATAAGAGATTTAAAAAAAATATTTTTTTATAGGTGACAATATAAGTATAACTTTCTAACTGAACATGAACAAAAGTGGTTACTTTCTCTTTATGAAAATGACAACAAATATTTTGTTATTATTGTTGTGTTTCAAGTTCATCAAACGTGTTTTACTTAAGTAAATTACAAAAAGGGTTGGAACAAAAAGAAACTACTCAATCTAGACATGCACTGAGGTTTAAAAAAAAAAATTCATATAAAAAATTCATGTAAGAAAGCCAAAAAATGATTTTTAAAAAAAAAAAAATTTATAACGTGAATTTATATATTTTTTCTTTTGGACACATGATAGATACCAATAAACAAGACACATGTAACCAACATGCGTCCTTATTGTGAGGCGTTACTTGAATCTCCGAGAAATAGGAATGTATTTTCTCCTATTAACATTTTTGATATTGTCGCCAAATGTACTGTCTTTTTGTTATATTAATGTGTTAAGTTATTTCATTACAAGGCCCCCATGTTGAGTTGATTATGAAAAACTATTCAGTCAAGATTGTTATAGGAATCGATTCAGATCAAACCAAAGCTGTGGAAATGGTGGTAATTTTAATTGAAATGTTTTAAATAAACTGTTGAAATACATGTTTGGTTTTCGCTAAGTGGAAACAGAAATTGTTTTTGTGTTTCTTTACATGTGAATGGTGAACTGTCTTCCAGAAATTGTTTTTGTGTTTCTTTACATGTGAATGTTCAACTGTCTTCCAGAAATTTTTTGTGTTTTCCTTTCAACTTTACTTCATGATAAGTAGCTACGTTTTGATATTTATATTCAACTGATATCGATTTCTTGTGCAATATTATTTGACTGATGTGTTCCCTAGATTTTTCTTTAAAATTTTGTGATCAAGCTTTTGAGACTGCCATGAATACCTTGGCTGTGAAATAAAATACATTTTTTAAATTCTTCCGGTTAATATTGTAAATTGGACGTACCTTTACTTTGTACTGATACCATCTTAAAGTCACTAATTTTGACTTGCTTAACACCAAACTATAACAGGGTCCCTATATTATTTTGTATTTTAATGCAACGATCCAGTTTCATAGCGTTTGCTTACAACTAACATAGGAAGGAAGGAAAAAAAAAGTGAGCTAAATTGTAAGTTATGATTTAAAGAATTCCTTGAAAATCAATAAATGGAAAATATTTTTCCCACATGTTTGAAAAGATTGACATTGGACTTATATTTTTAAAATACCTTAAACTTAAAGAATAGAATACTTAGGAGGGGGGGGGGTAGAGTTAAAAAATTAAGGGTAAAAGTAAAAGAGTTGCACCATCAGGGAATCAAACATGGGTCAAATTTGTGGCAGTTGAGTATTCTACAAAGACACCATTGCTACTTGCAATTCTTTTAATCAGAATTTTAAGATAGGAGCCAAAATGATCAATAAATTGATCGTGGGCCCTTAAGATATAGAAGAAGAAGATAGTGATTAATTTTAACTCAGATAGTTTGAAACCATTGTTAAATTCATAATGGGGGGCTAACACTGACTACCTTTGGTAGAACTGATGAACTTAAGCTACTGGTACTTGATGTGTTCATGCTGATCTTGAACACTTTGATTCAGGTGGATAAATGGTTAATAAACTCCAGGCGGCTGTGTGTGACAAGGGCACCACACGGTTTGTGTTAGGGGTTACATATTCAAGTGATTTAGATGGTGGCACATCAGAAGTAAGGCTAAGATGCAATGTCAAGAAGAAGTTCAGCTTACTTAAGTGCCAAGAATGTTACACATTAACTTGGAGGACTTTGAACTCTCATTCAAACGAGGGTCTCAAGACGACATTTTGAGCAGAAGTGTGGATAGGAAAGACATCGGGTTCTCAAACTCAACCTACCTTTAGTACCGGTACAGTAGTAGTTTTTTCTCTTGTCTTAATTGAAAAAATATGTTATTAAAAATATTTTTTTGAGCCTAGGGAGTAGTGTTTCTTTCAAGTTCCTCGGTGTTGGAAAAAAAAAGGGGGGGGGGGGGGATTT